ATTGCATGCACAAAATATTAATATTTTTTAAGAAAATTTTATTATATATGCGGATTTTTAATAAAAAAATGTCTTAAAATTCAACGTTGCGATGTATGTACACAATATGCCTTAACACACGAAGACTTGGATATAAGCTCCATGTATTGTTATTATAAAGCATACAAAAAAAGCTAATAAAGATATTTTTGGCAATTTAAAAATGTCAAATAATAGTTTTGTATGTTTAATAACAAAAATTGAAATAATTTTTCATCACAATTTTGAATTATTTATCACTAAATCCGGCGTTTGTAATTTTTTTTTAGATTTAATTAATTCCGAGATAACATTTGACGCTCCTTGTCCCCGATTTCCATACATATATGTTATTAAGGGTCGATTCCACCGTTGTGTTAAACGGAGATTAAAATGACATTGTTAATGTAAAAATGTAATTTTAAACTTCGTTTATCACAACGGTGGAATCGGTCGTAAGTTATATTTAAGGCTGCTCATATATTTCACTTTAAAAATATTAATAGAAATTTTAAGACCATCAATAAAAACAAGCTAATTATTTGGCGCAATCTGTGAAGCTTTTTTGTTTTAATACGATCCTGCCTATCAATACCTTATTTTATTACAAGGTCAAATTTTCTTAGTATAATATTTGTATGCGATCAGCGGAGAGTGGGCCTGCCGATTGTTTTTTATGCCGTGGCCCTATCATGCAATTTTTGTAACCTTCCCTCACTATGTAGCAGTGGTTACACGACTTGATTGGATATTCGCTATTTTTGTTACACATCTGATTGGTTAGAAAAAAATTGACAGAAATACGTTAGTTAGGTTAGTTATTTTATGGTTATTTTGTGGTTCATTTTGAGTTTATTTCGTACTTGAATTGAAAAAGGTTTGTGGTTTAAGTTATTTTGGTGCATTTAATTGCTTTAAAATTTCTGTGAAGTGTATTGTGTGCTCGAGAAAGTATCTCTCCGAGGAATTACTACTAGAGGGAGCGTGAAACGAGTTTGTAGGCGATTGTTGTGTTAGCAATATCTTTGAGGAAGTGAGGAAGCGGGCACAAGGGAAAAGGTAAACATCCTTCTTGTTCAGTGGCGTATCATTTCTCTATAATAACACACTGTCCAAACTTTTTAATTGTAAAAAAACCTAAAAAAATTTGCTAATTTTACTATTTTTAGAATGTATACCGTCTTATATGTGTCTGATGCAGGAAATGAAACAAAATCACTGTAAAGGTCTAATTTTTTCAATTAAAGAATAAAACCTCAAAATCAATTTTATTATAAATAAATACAGTAGTGACGTTTCGGCGTCACAGGGCATCTTCAGGCCTGTAATACAATAATCCTTAATTATTATATTAGGTTGGTCACTTACGATTAAAGTTATTAGTATAAACCACAAAAATAGATCCATATTGTAGCGTTACAGCATTGTAGAATTAAAGCTGTGAACATAAAAGTGCAGTGCAAACGTAACTAAAAATAAGAAAAATGGGCACGAAATCTTCAATAATACTATTTATTTAAGATCGCCATTAATAAATGCTGTTTTAACATCCATGTGATCTATTTTAAGATAATATTCAGCAGCTATACTAATTAATAGTCTTAAGCTTTCCTTTCGGTATACAGGAGCGAAGGTTTCATCGTAGTCTATTCCGTAGGTTTGTTTGTATCCCTTAGCAACCAATCGGGCTTTGTATCTAGTCACATTACCACTAGCATCAAGTTTTACTTTAAATACCCACTTGCAGGGTATAACACAACCATCTGCTGGTTTATCAACCAGTTTCCAAGTTTCATTGCTCATTAAAGAATTGTATTCATATTCCATAGCTTCATACCACTTGTTAGCATCATCTCTACTGAGTGCATCGGACACATTAACTGGATCGATTGATAAGCAGTCAGTTTTAACTTGGAAAGTTACAAAATCAGGGAATTCTTTTCTATTTCTGATGCGAACAGGATACCTAGGCTCTTCAACGAATTCGGCGGGTTCAACAGTAGTATTATCGACATGCTTATCCGCTGTTTCTTCTTCAACATAATCCACAGAGACGGGCATTTCTTCAAATTTAGAAATTGCAGAATTTGGATCTTCAGGAGATAAAATATTTTCCAAAGGAACAAAATTTTCTTCTGTTAAGTCTTTCTGTTTAGAAAATGTTTCCAAAAAAGATCACGTCTCTAGCTCTGATGACTTTATTGTTTTTTGTTATTAATTTGTAGCAATTATTATCTGTCGAGTCTTCACAGTATCCAATAAAAGTATGTTCAACACTCTTAGCATCCCACTTTCTCCTTTTCTGACGTGGAACCTGTACCATGGCTTTACAACCAAATACACGCACATGTTTTAGATCTTGTACTCGGTTTGTCCAAATTTCTTCAGGGATTTTTCCCTTCAATGCTACTTGGGGACTTCGATTTTTTAAATAAACAGCGGTGTTACAGGCTTCTGCCCACAATGATTTATCGCACTTACTGTTCATCATCATAGATCTCGCAATTTCACAAATCGATCTGTTAGCTCTTTCAGCTATAGAATTCTGCTGAGGAGAATGAGGCATCGACGTTTCAAACTTAATACCACTGGAAGTCAAGTATTCTTTCAGTTTTTGATTATCATATTCTCCGCCTCCATCGGATCTAAAAGTTTTAATCTTCTTATTAGATTGATTTTCAGCAAGTGCTTTAAATTCTAGAAATTTGTTGTAAACTTTATCTTTGCGTTGAATAAAATACACAAATATTTTTCTAGAAGAGTCATCAATAAACGTTACCATGTATATAGAGCCTCCCAATGATTTCTTTTCCATTGGCCCACATACATCGGAATGAATTATCTCAAGAAAATCAGCAGCTCGTCGTCGATTGGGTCTTCTCTTCTTTGAAAATGGTTCTCGAGCTTGCTTCCCCTCAGCACAGGCAATGCATGGATCAAAGTTGTGAGCAGGATATTGAATACCAGTAACTAAATTCTTGATTTGTTGCATACCTTTATTACCTAAGTGTCCAAGGCGTCTGTGCCACATATTTATTGACATGGCATCATTTTGAGTAAGCATCGTAGTATTATTTGATGTATTTTGTACTTTGAGCTCAAACATACCGTTTTTTCTCAAACCTCTCAGTACAATTTGGCCATTAATCTTATAATTGTCTTTGTGATAAATTTTACAGCCATGTTCATTAAAAACAACGATTAAATCTTTATCTACCATCTTTGAAACAGAGAGCAAATTAACTGCCAAGTCAGGAACATATGCTACATCTTTTATTGTTTTTAAACCTCCATCAGTGTAAATCGGTATGTCACCGACACCAATAGATGCACTTTTGTTACTATTTGCCATACTAATTTCTGATTTACATTCTACAAAACGTTCGTAGTAATCTTTTGAGTACGTCATATGGCACGTTGCACCAGAGTCTAAAAACCATCGATTAGGGTTTTCACACTTAACGGATAAAGCTTTATCACATGTGGTAAATAACGCGTTTGAATTATGTGGTTTATTCTAGTTCTGCTTAGGAGTTGACTTTGAATAACAGTCTTTTCTCTTATGACCAACTTTGTTGCATTTGGTACATTTAAATGGAAATCTTTTTCCCTAGAGTTTTTTGCCATTAATGCATTTTCAGATTGATTATTATCTTGTCTTCTGTAACCTTCTGCCAGTAGTTTGCTTTTGATCATTTCACTAGTGATCGTGATGCCACTATTATCTAATGCCATTATCATTGGTTCAAAAGATTCTGGAAGTCCATTTAGAAGAACTGCAGCCAAATCTTCGTCGGCAACGGGTGCATCGATGTCTGCTAATTTTTGAGAAATATTCATTACATCCGATATATAAGACGACATGTCAGGATAATCACTTAAAGAGCATTTTAAAAGTTTTTGTCTTAGGCGCAGGCGACCCAGTAGACCTTTTTTTTCATAAAGCTTCGCTAAATTGTCCCAAGCTTCTTTCGCTCCCTTAGCACTAGATACATGGACATAAAGGTTAGGAGAAACCATTAAACATATCTTGGCCATAGTTTTCTCGTCTTTCTTTTTATCAAACTTTTCAGATCCTGCTGTAAGTGTGCCATTAACATATTCCCACAAATCTTCATGTTTAAGAAACATCTGCATGGCAAATTTCCAATTCTTATAATTATCAGCACCAACAAGTTTGTCGATTGAAGGAAGTGAACTGTTTCCATGTGCGGCCATCACTAATACTTCGTTAGCAGTAGATAGATCCTACCTTTGGTCTAGCTTAACACACTACAGTAAATATCTTCGGAAATATATATATTCAACTTCTCTGGTATCAAAACACAACCGCCTGGGCGACCATAACCTATTGCAGATGGTGGAATGGATTGGATTGCTGTAATCCAGAGGAGTTTATAAAAATAATAAATATCTTGTAAAGACTTTTACAAAATTATATAATTGACAAAAAATAAATCAATTAGAAAAAACAAAACAACATAATATACAGTGTATTATTTTTGTTCTGATTTAAATATCTGCAGCCATAGATATTATCTGCAACAAGTTTAACATTTTGGAGAAATATGTGTTGCCTAACCTAGTAGTAAAGGCATCAAAATAGCCGCGCCCTATGTTGGGCGCTTAGAGGTTGGGCGTATCGGACGTCTCTCTTGCACCGTATAGAACTGGACCGACTATTGTAGGCTCAGGTCTCTCTTGGCGGCCCTCGTACAGTGACGGTTTTTAAAATCTGGCCTTTTGAAAATCTGAGTTGTGCAGGCCTGATATAGAGTATCCCAAAAGAGCAAAGAAAGGATTTAAAATTCAGAGTCAAATAAATAAAATAGTGTGAAAGTAATAGGAGAAAGGCGTGGGAGAAAGATTTAATTTTGGGTCACAGTTCGTATCTTGGGTATGGCAGTCTTCAAAGGAATATCCTTTATGCCTATGTGTCTACACTTTAGAAGGCAAAAATGTCAATATGACATTAGAATTTAGTCCCATTTTAGTAATATAGGTTTACAGCTAGTAGAAATTTACACGGATCGTATAATACAAATAAAAAAATATAAATATTTCTGTAAAAATGTCTTCAACGTATCCTAATGCAGATGTTACCGAATTAGGTGAAAATAAGGAACTGAAACAATTGGAAGATTATATTGATGATATTATATTAACTGCAATAGAAAAAATACATAATTTGGATTTACATAGGGAAGATGAACACATATCCAGAAATACTGAAGAAGAAATAATAATAAGAGACTCCAATGAAGTTCAAAATAGAATAGTGATACCTCTAGAAAACCAACTCAATCGTTGTGTAAATAAATTTCCCTTTCTAAACAATAAAGAAGATAAGGCAACAGATACAGGAATTTTTAATTTTGTTGGAAGTTTCCACCCAGACCCTTTTGAAAATAAACCCATTCCTCAAACTAATTTAATAGTTTACCCAACACGATACATCATTAGTGTTATTGATGAGTCAGGCGAAATCATATTTAGGAATCATTCAGTAACGAGGAACGAGTTTCTTCTAAACACACTTATTATTCTTTCGCTAATGCTTATTGTAACATTTTCATTGGTGTTTGCTTTAGTTTACGTTCCCGCTATGGGGAATTTCATAAAAGCCGATACCCAAATGTTTTATTTTATTTCTATTATCGACTTAATTTTATTCATTGTTCTTTTTAGCTTTGACGAAATTAGAAAAAAAAGCCCTTATAATTATTTTCTAATGGCCATTTTTAGCTTATGCAATGGTTATCTTTTGGGTTACCTCTATATCCAATACACTACCGATAAATTGTTATATAGTCTTGCTGGAACATTCATTATATTATTTATAGTTGGTTCTATATCCTGGCTATATTGTTTTGATTTAACTTCTTCTTTTTTTCTAGTTGACATGCTAATAATTCTTGCGATTGCATATTTAATGATTGCATCTATTTATTATTGGATAACACGGAGTCAAGTTTTACTACATTTTTTTTTCATTATCTTTGTAAGTGTCATAAGTTTAGCCCTTTTTCATCATTTCCAGCTAATGTTCGGAAGAGGAAAGTACGCGATGAATAGAGAAGAGGAAGTTCTATCCGCTTTTGTCATGTATTTTCAAATTATGATTGTATTTGCAACTTTTCCAAAATTAATTGTAGGCCCACAAAGGTAAAACAAGTAAATACAGAAGATTTGTAAAGCAGGTCCTAATGATTTTATTTATATTTAAGATAACAGTTCAGTACCTTAGAGGTAAACTGCACTACGTTATTCTATATTGCGACCAGAGATAACAGAGATATAGTCATTCATTGATAGAATATAATACTCACATTATCAAGATTAAGTTGACAACACATACTTTGATTACTATACAGTGCAAGAGAGAGGTCCGACACGCCCAACATAGAGCGCGGCCATTTTGATTCCTATGCCACAGTTTATAGCTAAAGAATCAGATCGCTCACTCTGCGTCGGCACTTTTGATCTCAATGTTCCAGTTTATACACTGCGCAACTCGGATAATACAATATATGACAACCGCCTATAATAAAACAGCAGTCTTCTGCGTATCCTAAATTTGTATCCCTGGAGTGGATGTTATTTTGGAACTATCAACTGGTCCGAGTGAGCTAACTGATTCTTTAGCAATAAATAGTGACTCCAAAAATAATATTCACTAACACTGACAGCAGCAAGCAAAATATCAGGTGCGTTTTATTCATCCGCTTCTGCTTCCGGAATTGTCGGTTTAGTCGTTTTAACTTGTCAGATGAAAACAAGAAAACCGACAATTCCGAAGCAGAAGCGGATGATTAAAACGCACTTAATAAAAATATTGCGCCAAGATGTAGGCAACACGTAATAAGGGATCAACATGGCGGAGTTTTCTATCTCCTTTTAAAAGGCACTCAGAAAGCTGTGCAGTGCGACCATTCTCCGTATAGTAAGAGAAAATCAAAGTATGTGGTAGCGACACACTGAGAATGTAATGTGAAGTCTTATGAAGCGCGCCGTTATCAGCCGTGGCTATGTTGGAATCCGAGAATAACGATCAAGGAGAAGCGACAGCTTGGTGTTTTCAGTGTACCGTTTTGTAACGCGCATGTGCAAAAATAAGTTGTGTATCACTCAAAATTATGTTATCTGTCAAAGTCAGTCCAAGTTGTGTTTAGTACGTGAGTAATGTTAAGTGATATTTTTTGGTGTTTGTTTTGTGTAGTAATAAGATGAAGATTTTTACACACTTATGTATTCTAATACAGATATAAAATGTGCCAAAAAAGAAAACTAAGAATTTTATCACATGCATAAATATTAAGTATAATGATTTAATCATTTTTGACATTTTATTTTTCATATGTATGTATTGTATTTTGTGAAATATATGTTTTTCTTCTTTTAAATAAATTTAATAAACAATGAATTGCAGATTTTGTTTATTTTATTTTGAAATTATATTTAAAAAAATATAATAAATCCGCGTGTTTCAATTAGAATTGGGCGAAATCCCTTTATTATAGCTAAATTGTAAGTTACAATTATGTCAATATAAAGATGTTTTGCCCATTCATATTTACATTTATTGAATGAATCATACTGGAGTTGATTTTAGAAATATTGGTGCATACTTAAATAAGTACTATTTATAAAAATTCCTTTATGCCCAGACAGCACACATAGTCCAATGGACGTCCACTTAAGATCTATTTGAGGGTCAGGACGTCCATATCCGGGCATCCAGTATACGTCCGTTTATGCTAATTAAATTGACAACTGAATATCGATACCCAGAGAACGTCTGTTTTTGGACTTAATTTTAAGTTTAGTAGTATTTTGACGTCCAGTGGACGTCTATCTTAGGTAATTATTTATTAAGCCTACCAGATAATACCCATCTATATATACTTCTTTTTTTCATTAAAAATTGACAAATTGAATCTATTGCATTTCATTCTATCAGCGGAAGTTTGAAATCTTATTCAATTATAACTGTATCTAGTAAAAAGTTTTCAAGTTGTTCCTTGGTCGAGCTCGTCTAGCGATTGAAAGCGTAAAACGATAATGGATGTGTCGTGAGTTCGATTCCTGCTCAGGTCAAGCGATTTTTAATAAAAAAAAATAAATGGTATATAGCGGTTTGCGAAAATAATAAAAAAATTATTAATAATATAAAATAGTGTGTGGTGAGTTGCAGTTCTGTAAAAAAAGTGGGGATGTGGTCTCAATGGAAATATAATCCTGGACGTTTTTTAAATGTCCAGTATTCGACGTCCAAATATATTCCAGAATTGGACGTCCTCTGAATGGTCAAAAGTGTGCCATTTGTATACTTCACTAGACGTCCATTGTCGGAAGTCCTGAAAAAACTCATTTTTGGACGTCTAGACATCCAAAATTGTATATCGAATGGACGTCCAATGGACATATTTGTATTGTCTGGGTGATAGCCAGGCCAGGTATTTAACTCTAAATACATAAACCTTAAATGACATCTGGCTTAACTTGGCGAGAAAACACTTGTTTCTACAGAAATGAGTGATAAACTTAAAAGTCCTTTTAATATAATATAAATCTAGAAATTCCAAAAATATGTAAGTACTTTTTAAACCTAAAAGCTTTGAAAATATATGCACAATGCAAATATTTAGTTAAACCTCTCAAACTTAATGTCTTTTTAATTGTTACCTAAATTTTTTTTGGCACACTTAATTTTATTTACCTTATTTTTACTTAAAAAAAAGGTAATTTAATTTAAATATGGGGCTTTTATTACATTTTTAACAATAAATAAACCAAATATTGAACAAATTTTATACATAAATTATAAAATAATAAACGTCTTTTACTTTTATAATAAATAATTAATTATTACATAATGAATTATATTTTGGTGCCGAAATTTCACCATTGCTATTAACCCTAACTACTTCAATGTAATTAAATCACATTGCAACATTTGCGCATGGACTATAACAATAATTTCAGATAATTTGTCAAACTATTTCGCTCAGTGTAGAAAATAAGCATGTTTTCTCAGCGTGCTAAGTTGTGTATTAATCAAAGTCATGCTGTAAAAAAGGTACATCCGATATCAAAGGCACCGACAGCTACTGTCGCTTCTCCTTGATCGGTATTCTCGGGTTGGAATCGGCAAAAAAAACAGGTCCAGTCTCAGGCAAATATCGACACGCGTTTAAATTTTATTACAATATGTCAGTTTTCCGGAATTTCATATAATGACACTTATGGCTGTATATCATCAAAAACCACAGAAGTTAAATTTAATGATAGCTGGAGTTTATGCAAAAAACGCCTGAATTATGTTTAAATGCTTCAACTATCAATAAACTAACATCCCATGTCTTGAAATTATAGTTTTTCATAGCAATATTCGCTCCGTGCGTGACAGCAGCGCCAATTCATTATGGTTTCAATGGACTATTTTTGCGTACACTGTCAATACAATTTTTAATAGAATTCGTAATTAAAAAGTATATATGTTGGTTTTAATAAAAGTATATGGATTTTTAAAACAAGTAAAACAATAATTTATTATTATTATATATTTTTATCGCTTAAACTAAAAAATAAGTATAATTAATAAAAATCAATAAGAAAATATAGGCAAGCAACAGTATTTGCGGGAAAATTTGTAAGAAGTTGCCTAAGTCTAGTAAGTGTATTTGAAGAAATAACCTATACTGTATTTGATATGCCAAAATTACAAAATATCGCCCTAAAGTGCACGAATTATCTGCAACTAGCGCTAGTATCCACATACTTTGATTACTATACGGGGCAAGAGAGAGGTCCGACACGCCCAACATAGGACGCGGCCATTTTGATTCCTATGACACAGTTTATAGCTAAAGAATCACTAAGCGTCGGCACTTTTGATCTCAATGTTTCAGTTTATACACTGCGCAACTCGGATAATACAATATATGACAACCGCCTATAATAAAACAGCAGTCTTCTGCGTATCCTAAATTTGTATCCCTGGAGTGGTTGTTATTTTGGAACTTTTAACTGGTCCGAGTGAGCTAACTGATTCTTTAGCAATAAACTGTGACTCCAAAAATACTATTAACTGACACTGACAGGAGCAAGCAAAATATCAGGTGCGTTTTAATCATCCGCTTCTGCTTCCGGAATTGTCGGTTTAGTCGTTTTACCCTGTCAGAATAAAACAAGAAAACCGAGAATTCCTAAGCAGAAGCGGATGATTAAAACGCACCTATTAAAAATATTGCGCCAAGATGTAGGCAACACGTAATAAGGGTTCAAAATGGCGGAGTTTTCTATCTTCTTTTAAAAGGCACTCAGAAAGCTGCGCAGTGCGACCATTCTCTGTATAGTAAAAGAAAATCAAAGTATGTGGCTAGTATCGCTTTTGCTTCCCCTACCACTGAGCGAATAGCGCTTTACCCACATCACATACTTTGATTTTCTCTTACTATACGGCGAATGGTCGCACTGCGCAGCTTTCTGAGTGCCTTTTAAAAGGAGATAGAAAACTGCCATTTTGATGCCTTACTATGTGTTGCCTACATCTTGGCGCAATATTTTTTATATTTTGTTTGCTGCTGTCAGTGTCACAGAATATTATTTTTGAAGTCACAGTTTATTGCTAAAGCTCACTCGGACCAGTTGAAAGTTCCAAAATAACATCCACTCCAGGGATACAAATTCAGGATACGCAGAAGACTACTGTTTTATTATAGACGGTTGTCACATATTGTATTATCCGAGTTGCGCAGTGTATAAACTGGAACATTGTGATCAAAAGTTCCGACGCAAAGTGAGCGAACTGATTCTTTAGCTATAAACTGTGGTGAAGGCATCAAAATGGCCCCGCCCTATGTTGGGCGTGTCGGACCTCTCTCTTGCCCCGTATAGTAATTAAAGTATGTGGTTTTAACGTTTACGGCTGATTAAGAAATCTGAGCGCATGTAGGTTTGTTTCTTTGAGAAAAATAAAAAGAGAAGGTTTGAATAAATGACGAGACTTGTTTTCTTGTTGGTATTTAAACTGTAAGCGCTTAGCGCCCTGCTATCACTAAATTCAAACCCGTTTTACATCTATAAAAAAATATGTTTTTAAAAATAATGACAAAGAAATCAATAATTTTACTGATTTACCTCTTTAAATTTCACTTTGATATAATGTGTGATCAAATACAAGGATAATCGTTAATAAA